CGAATGCTGCCTCTGTGTGTAGTGCAGAGAAAGTTATGAAATTCTGCGGCAAAAAACGGGGAGTTTTTGACAGAAAAACTAGTATCGAAACAGAAGAAGTGTTTTTATATATAAAACTGTAAGCTATCAAATTTTTATATATGATTGTAAATTGGATGTCTGTAATGTAATATCCGTAAAATAATAAATAAATAAAGAATAAATAAATAAACTAAAAAGAAACAATATTTTAATTGAGTATTTCATCTGATTGGTTCAAACAAATGAAATTAACCATATTTCAAAAGTGGCTGTTACATGTAACAGCCAAAATCTGATGATAGAAATTTAATGATGTTTACAAGTGCTGTTTTTTCTATTATGAATGCTTTGAATTGTGTATGAGGACAAAGAATAATAAAAGCATGGATGTTTAATTTGTTGCAGGGCTCAGCAAAGTGGGCAGGAGAACCAGAAGAAGAAGAAGAGCGATACTATGGGCGTGGTTCACGTCAGAGGAAGGAAGTTGACTATTCTGATAGTCTTACTGAGAAGGAATGGCTTAAGGTAGGCAGTTTCGTTATTCCTGAATACAATCTTCTTGTTAGTTTTGTGTAATGCAATATTATTGTTACAAATTGTACATTATCTTCATTGATAATTTGATAAGAATGTATTACTGATGAAACGTAAATTTATATCATAAAGAGAAATGGAATATTTACGACTAGTAGTTTGTGCTTTGAGAGATAATAATGCACAGGGCTGCATTACAAATGAAAAATGCAGGAAAACATCCAAAATAGAACAACATTCTTTCCCTGGCTAAAGAAATAATACATAAAGGACATTGTTTTTGATTTCGTCTCCTAGTGAGTGAATTAGTTTGTTAAAATTATTTGTGTGGCTGTGGCCACCTGGTAAGTAATATTCTTTTACAAACTTAATGGTTTTCAAGTATTTTGTTACATTCCATATAATCCTACATAATGCATACTATCAATTTTTGCATCTGAAAAATATATGTTTTGGGTGGAAACTTGCGAATTCATTATTTTACGCATTGAGAGTTTTCTCAAATTAGTACAATATTCTGCGGAAATGCATCCTATAGTTCCTCAGACTTACAGATTAAAGAAAAGAATTGTATGAATGAGAAGTAAATCCCGCTCAAGTGATTCTTGTAAGCCTTTATTAAGCCACAAATTTAACCATTGCCTTTCCTCTGGATTTACAAATGTGTAGTGCTTCCCAAAAATAATTAGTTCAAGGATGGGAATATATTTTCAGCAAATATTAATGTCTGTATCTATGACATTTAACATAGTAATAATATTCATTATGTCTCAGTCTTAAAAGCTCAAGCCAAAACCTTTGCGTACAATACATGTATGTTATTTTACAACACATGGCCATATGAATAAGCGATTAAGTGATATACAAGTTTAAATGCTAAGTAAAATCATTTCTGCTGCATAACTGTTGCTATACAATTAAAGACTAAACAGAGCATCAAAACAAAGTAATATTGATTTTAATGATGATATTTAATGTATTAGTTACCACTTGCACTCTATAATTCTAAAAGACTATAAATATGAATGTAACAAGTATTGTACCTCAGCTTCTGGGTCAGTAACCCCATCTTCATCAGATTTTTCATCTAGTTTCTGTGAGCTTTTGAGTGAATGCTGAGATGGCCCCTTTGTTTACTTCTGGGCATAATTGAGACTTCACTATCTGTGCACAATTCCTTGAGTTCAGTGGAAAAATAGTTATTCAAATTATTGTTCCTATGGCTGTAAGTCAATTCCATAATGAAAGACATGATGAGGGATAATAGCTAAAATCCGTAGCTGATTTGCCTTTGCAAGTTTTTATTACACAGGAGCAAATATTTTCAAATCAATTCTTGCCAAAAATGCTCATTTCCATCTATATTCATAATTCAACTTGTATAAACATGGGATTCTAGAATTTAAGAAAACTTGCACAGAACACACTTCTCCCCATAATCACATCCAGTTTTTAATTGTTTTTGGTGATATATAAATAAATAAATAAATAAATAAATAACTTTTTGAGAAGATTATTGCAGATAACAAGGCTGGACAAGATAAGGAACGAAGTGGTATGGGAAAGATTAGAATATAAAGCTTTTCAATGATATGGACATGTCCAGAGGATGCTAAATGAGAGATGGCCAAACCAATTTTAAATTGGATACCTGAAAGAAGGCCTAGAAGTGGCAGACCTGTTTTGACCTGGAAGGCGTATATATGGGAAGTAATGGAGGAGAAAAATTAGCAGATGGTCAATGGGAGTACGAAAAAATATGGAAATCGAAAATGGCAAACTCTTAGGGGTAGAAGCCATTGAAGAAGATAAATAAATGACTGGATGAACGAACGAACAAATGAACTTGCATCAGTACCAATTCACGTATTTGCGATTTTAATGCTGTTTTCTTGGAAGATATGGGGATGGAGCTGTTTCAATTTTCAACATGAATCTTGCATGCTAACACAGTACATGTGCATGCACACTGGGTATGTGGAAAAATTAATACACAGTGTTTTTATGTTTATTAGGCTATAGAAGAGGGAGAAGAAGAGGAGGAGGAAGAAACACCCAAGTCCCGCAAAAAGTTGAGAAAAAGGAAGAAGAAAGATGATTTGGAGGCTTCTACATCTGGTGAAAGCAGTCATCATAAGAAACGCAGAGGCAGGCCTCCGGGAGACAAATTTGATATACCTGTTGATAGCAAACTTAAAAAGTACATGAAGAAATTAATATCTACAGTAGTGAAATATGTAGATCGGTAAGTTTTATGTCACTGGTGTTTATTACTATTTTTGTAAAGTAGTTTATTTTCGTTATTCAGTGTCTTAGATAATTGAGGCATACAGTGTGTGAGGGAGCTTTGCCCACAAGTGTATGAAACAGAGATAAATTCAGTTTTCTGTTTTGTTTGTTTTATCAATTATTTGTTTATGCAATGTGTAAAATGTGGCATTTTTTCTTGTTACCTTCAGAATAGCAAACTTGTTTAATTAGGAAAATATCATGTAGAAATTTTAGAACCATTGTACATTCAGTGTATTACCTGAAATGTAAGATTTTTTTCATCTAACTTTTGACTGTTTACTTTTGTGGGTACTGGAACATTCTTTAAGAGATGAGAGGGGAGAGCAGGGGCAAGGAAAGATGATTCGGTTCGTGACCTGTTTGTTAAGGTAGTGCTGCAGCATTCAGCTGGTATTGATTAGAGAAATCATGAAAAACTACCGATAAGTGCAGCTGGGTTTTTGAATTCTCCTTCCAACAAAGCATGAATTTGTACCAGCTCTATAGTAGCTAGTGCTGTAATTCTGCCACTGTAGGGAATGGAACCCTAGGAACTCTCAGTCAAAGACACTGCACTGGCAACAGTTGATACTGTGAGCCATCTTAGCCAGAGACGGTCATCCATGTTTGCTAATACGAGTAGCCTACATTCTTCATTCAATATTACCAGTTGGTTCTCTGCAATATCTAAGGAATAATGGAAGTTCATGAAACTGATATGTCAAATCAGTATTGAACATCAAATGTCTGACAATGCGAAATGTTTCTCCAGAGACTCTGGAATATTAGTAATACAATTCTTGAGATAGATTGAATGTGGAATGTTATAATATAACTGATACTTTGGTGCTTGTGATAGTAATATCAGTGGCACATGATGAGAATGTGGCTTAGCTTCGTCTCTCACAGAAATTGTATGAAATTCCCTTCATATATATCTGTGTAACTGTTAACGATTTCTGTAATTTTTTAGGGATGGGCGTATGATAAGTGAGGTGTTTATGAAGTTGCCATCTCGAAAAGAATTACCTCATTATTACGAAGTAATAAAAAGGCCAATTGACATTAAAAAGATTTTACTTAAATTGGAGGATAACAAGGTAAGTCTCCTTTTCTCTTCATGAGTATTATCAAGTGAAGGTCTATATTGCATAGAATTTAAATCCAAAATGAAATTTGACTATTAGTAAATTAGGTTCTTCCTAAGAATATTGCCATAACTAACTGCAAAAAGGATATAAAATTTGAATTACAAATTAAAGGGTAATGTTTCTTTAACCAACTAATAACAAGTATTGTACCTCAGTTTCTGGGCCAGTGACCCCCATTTTGATCAAATTTGTTGTCCAATTTCCCTGATCAATTGAGCGAATACTGAGATGCCCTTGGTTTGCTTATGGACATAAATGTAACTTCACTATCTATGCATGTTTTCTAGAGTTCAATGGGGGAATATACTTACCCAAATTCTCTTTCACCATATTCTTGTGGCAGTAAGTCAATATCTTCAGAAAGGGCATCACAAGGAATATATCCACTTAGTGATTTGCCTTAGCAAATAGTTTGTTTTTTTATGCCAAAAACACTCGTTTTCACCTGTATTCATAATTCAAGTTGTGATGGGTTGGAGTAGGGTTCCCGTAATTTTAAAAAATGTTCACAGAATTCATTTCTGCCCATATAGTATGTCACACACAGTTTTTAACTGTTCTTGATGACAAATAAATATAAATAAATAATGTAGATTGTTTCATGAGTATCACCATAATATTTGCTTTGGATTTCCAAACATCATGGGCACTGCTTGCTTTAGTCTAAACATCCAGAATTAAAGACTAACTGAAGATTCTTAAAAAAAAAAAAAATAATCCTGCCCATATTTTCCAAAAACCAGGACAAATAAAGAGAGGTATCAAATGCTCTTGCGGAATTATAAATATTACAAAAACATGATATTTTACACAAAACAGAAAAAATATGTCCCCTTACCCTGAATGTAAGGCTACTTTAATGCTGTAGGAAAAAAATTATTCTGCCATTTATATTCTAAAATTCAAAGTTGTACAAAGTAAAATAGGTAACATATATTCTTATGAGCTAATATACAACCACACTCAAAAACAATTGAAAACATATGACCCTCTATTAAATTTGAGGCTAATTGTGGATTCAAGAGGAAAAAATATTCTTACCTTTATATTCCAAAATTCTGAGTTGTACAAAATAAAACAATTAACATACATTCTTTGGACTTATATACATGAAAATTTTAAAATCCTCTGAAAAAATGGGGTAGGAACATGAGGTTTAGGCTCTAGGAAAAAAGTCAGGGGGAGGCATTGATTCATTCTCAACATTTAGTTCTTTGACCAAATAGTCTGGTAGAATCACTACGTGCAAAAACGGTACTTTTTCATACTTTTCGAATAACACCTCTCCGAATGATGTTTGTACATGAATGAACAAATTTAACCCAACCTCATCAAAATTGTAGAGTTACAAACTCTGCTTTTCAAAAACTCCAAGATGTTAAACAACTATCAAATAAATATTAAATTTCTATATATTTGGGCAATGATGGTTTCAATAACATGAGCTCCAACTCTTCAAATTCTTTCCTATTCAAATCGTTGTCAAGGTTGCTTCTTAATTTATACTACTATAATCTCTCCTAGAAAACGGTGTTCTTTCTTGGTTCATTTAATTTAAAATGGTGATGTTTTTGTAGAGGGACCAATTACTTCATTTACTCCACTTACTTCATTTTCATGCATTGTTTTGTTATTTTTTTCAGTACGGATCCTTTGATGATTTGGAAAGAGACTTTATCCAGATGTGTAAAAATGCTCAGAAATACAATAAAGAAGGCTCTTCTATTCATGAAGATTCCATTGTCCTTGAAAGAGTGTTTCTTGATGCTCGAGCACGTTTAGAAAAAGACACTGCAGAAGCAGCCGCAGCTGCCGTGGTAGCTGCTGTGGCCCCACCTGTTGCTCCTGTTGCGGATGATGAGCCAGAAATTATTGAGGATGATGATGACTTTTACATAGAAGAAAACTCTGAATATGCAACAGTACCATAATAGCACTCACATCATTTTATATTATACCTTATGGTACCTGTGAACTGTTGCACATTATTTTCCAAATTTTAAGACCATATAATGATAATATTTTATTATGTTGTAAAATTGATATGGAAATGCTATCAGTCAAAGCTAGTTTTTTAATCAAATTTAATTTAGAAATATTTGAAAGTAATTATTTCAATGCGAGTGCAGCACTTTCATAATTTAAGAGAAAGATATTCTGGAAATTCTTCAGAGAAAACAAAATAATGTTATTATTTTGAATGACATATATTTTGATAATAATAGACTGCTGGACTAGTGTAAACAAGTACAAAATTTGTACATCTTGTAAATTTAATGTAGATACACACATCAGAATCTATGTACAAAAGAACTTTCCTCCGAAATATTTTAATGTCAGTGGTAGATTCAATGTTCCTGATTAATTGTGTGTTTTTCTGTCATTGGAAATAACACACTATAATGTATTTATGATTTGTGTGCATTGTAAAATTTTCTCTTCTATTTTTGCTTTCTTTAAAAGAAATATATTTTTTCATTATGAATTGTCAAAAAGAGACATTGAATTACTGTCACTGATGCAGGTTGAATGTAATGTGCATAGTAAATAATATAAATATATTTAGTACATGTGCAGTAAATATTTGCAGAACATTACAATATTCTACCTTTTTTGCAAATAATATGGCACTCAAAATGTGTTCTATGTTATCTTTTCTATGGTTATTTGTTGTTTCTTTGCTGGGTGGATATTTATGATTTATTTTTGTTTCCAGGTTTATATTGCAAATAGATTACAAAAAGACAATTTTTTCATCAAAATGATACTCTGTGCCCATGTTAAATGCATGGCCTTCATTGTATACAAGACATTCCAAAATGTTGTGTAGAAATGTAGATCATGTTTCCAGTTGAACTTGTGAAGTAGAAAGGCTGTTTTTAGTATGTTATTTCACTTTTAAAGTACACAATTTTTATACATCATTAATTACTGTATTGATTTAAGTGCAGCACGTTTTTGTAATGTACATTATCAGAATTAAAGGTACTTGACAAGAAATAAGAATATAATATGTAACGTAGCTACATTTTGAGTATTGTTTTGTTTCTTGCAATAAAGTTCCTTAAGTGATATTGTTTGATTTTTTTTATTCTGTTTTCCTCCTGATGTTAAATTTTGCAAGAGACACTAAATGTACACAATACTATACCATGAAATTTAAATTTCAAACTCTAAAAAAAATTAATTTTTCTGTAAATAATCTCTTTTCACTTTCTCGCATACTACTTACATAGTATGGTTAATGTAATATAACAATGCAGCATAAAACTGCAAATTTTTTTACTGAAGAGCTTGTATTGTGAGACTTTTATACAAAAAAAAGTGGATATCTTAATCCTATATGTAGTAAATTACTTCCATTGACGTGTCGTGAAGTTGGAATCTACATGTGAGGCCCTTGATACCAAAAATATTGACTCGTGACAAAACGTCTGTCTGTCCATCTCTGGTTATGTTAGCGCTTCAACCGTTCAGATGATTTTCTCCAAAATTGATATTACTCCAATGATCTGGCTAAACTCTGAGATCTTGAGAATTTGAAATGGATGTTAGATTTTGGGAGCTACTTTATGCAAAGCCATAACGGTTCCAAAATTTTCCCTAATCTGGCTTCAAATTTTTGATTAATTGTTTTCCTTGGATAGAGTGAAGGACACTTGATAAATTGGCACAGGTATCATATTTGATGAAGTCTGAATTTTCGAATGAAGGGAGATTTTTTTTTGTTAATGAAATCTGTTCAAATAGATAATCAAAAATATCGTGTACATTTTTGCAAAAATATGAGCAGGTTTTGCTTGAAATACAGGAAGCTTTTTAACAAATATTTTCTCAAGAACTGCTCCTTTTTTAGGTACCATTTTCAGCTAGCTCTGTATTTTTGAAAGTAGCAAAAACTTTATATTGAAAAAGCACAAAATGAATGACAGATACTAGTTCCTTAATGAAATCCATTGTAAAAAGGTTATCTTTAAATAAGATCAGTACAATTTTTTGACAATATAGGAGTTGTTTTTGTGTAATTTTTACCTGAAGTAGAAACGGTTAATAAAAAGAATTCCTTTCTCAATTGAATCGTTTATTTCAGAAACCCGTCAAATGCCAAAATCTAAAACATTCTTTAGCAATGGAGTATTGTTTCAGGAGGATAGACACATCTCTTAGTGCATATTTATATGAAAAACATTCATTCATCAATTCCTTTAATAAAAAATATTTTGAAATCTTAAAAATTGACATACTTACTCTTAGTTTTCTCGAAATGAGGAATTTGACATTGGACGGGTTTCTGAAATAAACGATTCAATTAAGGCTCCAAATTTTTTATAGAACCATTTTTCTCTGAGAGAAGCACTCACGAAGCTGAAGCACTCACAAATGGACGAGATCGCGTTTTCGGTAAACACTCCATTCTCGATAATTGCTAAAGTTAGAAAAATGCGAAAAATTATGTGCTGTTGAGAAACAATGGTTTTATTCCAACTTTTAACTAAAGCAAAAACAAAATAGAGCCTTTAGAAAAATGTTTATAAATTGCCTGTATTTCACTGAAAATTCTCCTATTTTCGAAAAATTGTACATGACCTTCTTCCAAGATCTGTGTTTGAGCATCATATATAATTAAGGAAACAAATCTGTATCTTCAGTATTGTAGTTGAAGGAAGAACTTTTGCAATTTCCGAAAAATTCAAGAGCTTCGACGATTCATGAGACTTACGCCATTCATTTTACGGTATCGGAGGACAAAGTTTAATCAAAAGTTTGAGCAAGTTTTGAAAAAAAAATCAGGAAATGTAAAGTCATGTAAATAGTCTTCATGAGATTTACCCCCTTTTTCGTTACCAAGTTATCTGTCGAAAAATCCCCGATTGTCGCCACAGCATTACAATACGTTCACTCCATAACATAAGATCTAGTAAAGGGAGAAAGGAAAAAGAGGTTATCAAAAATATTGTGTTTTTGCAATGTTGATTTTTGTTGGCAATTTTCGAACACACGGGGAGTTTGCGGGAAATGAGATCTGCATGCTGCACCATTTTTTAAACTTCCTTTGTATTATCCGTGAAAATAATAAGTGAAACTAGTTGTACTCAACATGCCACACTTTCTCACATTCTTTATAAGTCTTGCCGTTTTCAATAATTCAGAAAGTTCAACGAAAATGAGACCTGCGCCATTTTTTAAGTGCCCATTACATTGCTTTTGAGAACTTTTCTTGTAAATTGCATTGTAAACAAATTACGCGAAATTGTTTTTCAAAAATGTACATGACCTTATTTAATGATTTATTTTTTTCAGTGGCGAGGCGTTCGGTCATCGCTAACGTGAACAAAAATATACAAATAATGAATTTTCAATATTTTAAAGAATAATTAAATAGTAGTAGTAAACATCTACTGATATGAGCGGTAATAGTAAGAAACATCTGAGAAATAGACATGCAACAGCGAGACGCATGTAATCATGGACCAATGAATATGGAGCTATATATTCATTGCTTCATGAACGTAATGGATTCGCCAATATTAGGGACTCGGAAGATTTAGAGTACAGTGACCGCATTCCTCTAATTCTCATCATTACAAGAAATACAAACACTGAGACGTCTCAGTGTTCAGTGCTCAGTGAACACTACACTTCTGAGTAGATAAAACTAAAATTAAATTATTCATAGATTACTTGATTCAAAAGATAACACTGAAAATAGTAGTTTAGGCAGACGTAACAAGGGCGCAAATCACCTCGCGCCCGTGTTGCGTATACAACACAGCATGAGCGAAACGCAATGCGTCAAGGAATATAAATTAAATATCAAATACCTAGAAATACTTTACTTGTACAAAGGTAAATGGATTGTCGTATCTCTATTGTTTCTAAATAAAAAATACGAAATTCGAATCGTTACAAATGTTTCGCACACGTTTCCCGATGTTTCTCGCACGCTTTCTGACGTTTTGCACGCTGTGAAAGACAATTAACTGTTTTGCACGCGGAAAACAAGCATCCTTTATGTATCCATTTCCTTTATGTAGTGATACTTTCTATCTCTACCGTCCCACTCGCAGATAAAACAGAACTCTATGTACCCTGTCAGACGTTCCCATGAAAAAGCTGATGATTTTTAAATCACCATAGATGCACTAGTGGTAGCTCAGGTTTTCAAGAAGTAGCGAGATAGTTTCGTGTCTGTTCAGGTGGGTAGAATATCTAACCAGTACTGATGCATACTTTTTCCATATTGTAATAATACTGTTTCAAACTTGTTTTAGTTGAGTCAATGAAAATCGCCATGCTTATGTTCCATCCCGGGGCTTGTCAAGAGACCTTGAACGTCCACACAGTAGCAAATACTATCACTCCTTGCAAAGTAATGCGATTTCAAAAATGCTTTAAAATATTACCTTAAATATAAAATTTTCACAGACGACGAAACTATTGTGTGGTGTTGCTTGAAAAAAATACAAAAAACATGGTTATAAAAAATTGATGAACCGTGTTCCATGAAAATTATTTTTTGTCGATATCTTAAAAACTGGACGTTACAGAGACAAACGGTTTTGAGATTTGAAACCAACATAAAAACTACATTAGAAAAAGTAAACACCAGATATCTATAGCTTGTTTATTAGTGTAATTGTAATTCATTTTCGTCGTTTTCATTCCACTTTCACACGTGCTTTCCTCAAAAAAGAAAATTAAACATTTCACGGAAAAGCAATTCTTGGATTATACGAGGGATTAGAACATCGCGTAAAAACAAAACTAATTCTTTATCTAGTGCTACGTTTTATAATGGAAATCTTGATTTCCACATCTACTTCCTAAAATACAAACCATTTTTAAGAAAATGCACAAGGCAAGCTAAAATCATGAAACACGATCAGGGTATTTTGAATTCAGATAACAAAACAAAATCAATGTGGAATATAGTAAAAAATACTACCACATCAACGAGAAATCTTGTAGAGAAAGTTGTTTTAAAAGATGATAGAGAAGTGAACGATCCGGCAACAGTGGCTAGTCTCTTTAATCACTATTTTTTCAGAATTGCGGCTAATTTCACTATCTGTGTGATCTAACATCCGACGTTTCTACGGAGAATTTAGTTATGTTTCCGAAATATCTTCCTATGAAAATCTGAAAATAATCGGGAAACTAAAAACTAAATATTCGGGCGGTTTTGATGAATTTCCGGATTGTTTATTAAATACGCACCTGTCAGTATACCCCCGTTAACTCACATACTCATGCAACCTTATGCATCGGAACATTTCCAGATATCAAAACTGCTCAGATTAAGCCGCTCCTCCTAAAAGGCATCAAAAATAAAATTGAAAATTATCGGCCAATTTCTCTTTTGTGTGTTAAAAAAAAATCAAACTTTTTTGCGTAGGAATGGAAATCTTTCTCAGTAAATACGAAACGTTTCCAGATTACCACTTTTTAGAAATTGACAGATTTTAGAAATTTAGAAAATCAAAATCTACGAAAACAGCCATACTTTCTTTTCTTTAGCAATGTTGCTTCATCCGTAGATCAAAATTAAGCACCAATTGGAATATTCTTAAATCTTTTAAAAGCTTTTGACATCATTGATCATTACATTTTACTTTCAAAATTACTTTATTATGGAAATCATGATGTTACTCTAGATTGGTTATGTTCAGACCTCAACAATATCAGAGAGTAGAAATACTGTACAGGAATTACATTATTTACTCACTTTTTCAATGCATTGCCAATTGCTCATGAGGTTCCGCAAGGTTCGATTTTAGGTCCTATTCTGTTCCTGCTATACGTAAACGATGTGCCCTCGATGATTTGAAACGGAAGAACAATGATCTTTTCGGATGATACGAATATTCTTTGCAATAAAGAAATAGTAAATAGTACAATATCACATGTTTCAAATTGGCTCGGTAATAAATAAATAAATAAATAGTAAACGAGAGAACAGTTTCATTTCAGTTTTCAATTTCTGGAAACACCCCGTTCTTTGTGTGTAGAAGGCACTGAAGCATGGTAGTGGAAACCTCCTTGCCGGTGTCAAGAGACCTCTGGCCCCTGCCTCGAACCGCCCTGCTGCCCCAGCCGCCACCCGTGTTGCGTTTACGCAGGCCCACTTCTGTCTCTAACCTCCCACGACGCTCGTGCCACGGTGCGGACGGTGCTGCGTAGATCGGGAGTGCTTGGTCACGACAGAAAGAGGTTATTATTGTTAAATAAACGGGCGGACTCGTATTGCGCGTAGCAAGCGCCACACCTTAGAGCCTTGCATCAACATTTTATGAGCGAGAGAGACATAATCTAAGGAATTTTCCAGTCGAGAACTTTTGGTAGCTTCGCGGGGATTGGCTGAGAAAAATTCTAATGCACAATTGATTTTAAACATTCTCTGCGTCTGATTCCCAGGGCTTCAAGATTGCAAGGGTATTCAGAAGCTTAGAGGTCAGAGAAGAAGGGGGAGAAAGATTAGAAGAGTTCAGACCGCCAGAGAGAAAGGTTCAGGCCGCGAGTCGCGCAGAACGCGGGTGAAGAGAGTTCGGGTCGCCAAGTAGGACAGATCGCCGAATATCGCGGATCGCCGTAGATGATTGCTCAGATCATCGAGTTGAGTGGATCGTGAGTGAGAGATCGTGTTCCTCATCACCATAAAAATATTGTTTGGAACTTGTGACTGTTAACTGAATTTGAAACGGAATCTCGCCTACCTAAGCTCGGGGCGCATTGCTGTGTTCGAGTGATACATGGGCACAATCCTAATAGTCAGGCGTTGTTCTTGATCCGTAATAAAGTGATTAAACGAAGTTCCGTGAACTAATCACACCCTGCCGCCTCAATCAAAGACAGACCGTGAAAAGTGAAGAGCATTGCTG